GGACAGGGGATGGAAGAGCAGAAATAGAAGGAGCAGGAGCATTCAGGTTGGGGACAGTGATGTGGGAAGGGGCCCATCAGTTGTTAACAAGAAGGGAATTCACATGGGACCGGGGTGTGTGGATGGGCGGGCGGGTGTGGGGGAGGCAGGGAGCAAGGAAAGGCTGTGCAGTTTCCCCAAAGGCATATGCGGGTCTGTTAGTCAGTCCTCTGCGTGCAGCATGGCTTTGTGTGTGGCACTCACCCCCTGTGGATTGATTGTCATCACCATGTGCTTTTCTCTTGTGGGTCCAAGGCCAAGGGCAGCAGGGCGGGCCAGAGAGCTAGGGCAAGGAGGGGCTTTGCTTTCTGAGGGCAATAAAGTGTCAGTTCTCTGGTTCTCCCCGGAGGCCTTTGTGAGCAGGTCTGTGGCAGCCCTCCCCAGGCACAAGCACAATGTGGAAAAGAGAACAATCCAGGTTTGAAACAGAGCCTCCCAACGGGGTGGGGTGCCCCATGACCCCCTCTTTGCAGCTTTGGATGTCCTAAGCCAGGGGTTTAAGACATTTAGAGCAAAGTGATTATTGTTAAAAGCACGGGATTTGTTTTCAGAGCCATTAGAGAGTGGCCTGGGGTGTGTAAAAGCCTCCTGGAAACAATTTCATCTGACACTGTGGATTTATCTTGTTGAGTAATTTCCTTTGGGTCTGGAAAGCACAGATGTGCTGCTGGAGTCCTGGTAAACGCTGGCTACCACAGGGATCATCTTTCCTTGTTCATTAAGGGGTTTGGACAAGCCACCCAGGGCAGGTCCGGGGAGCTGTGGGCCATCTCCTATTTCTGCCTCGGAGTGGGGATGGGGGAAGGTGGTGATGTAAAGCAAGTAGCACATCACTCATCTATGGACAACCTCCCGTTTGTTCGTGGGAAATTGTATGTGTGTGTGTGTGTGTGTGTGTGTGTGTGTGTGTGTGTGTGTTGGGGAAGGGTGCTGCATAAAGCAGATGGGACACCAGCAGGGATTTCAGTGGGAAACTAAACAGATCCTTCCCTCCATCTGCTTCTCTTAGCAATCAGCTTGACCAAAGCCCAGGGAAGTGCTAGAAGCAGTTGCTTCTCTGTGGTTGGTTGGCATCGTTGGGGGCGGGTGGTGGTGATGGAGGCTGTGCTGAGGTAGGCTCAGGGATGAAGGCAGGCCTGGTTGGCTTCCCTGGGTGTCAGTGACCAGCTGTGTGACCCTGTGTAACTACCTTCTCTGTAGACTGAGAATGTTATCGATGCCCACCTCCGAGGGCTGCTGTGAGAAGTATGAGGAATTACAGGGGAAGTGCTTATCCTTTTGCTCGGCTCAGAGTCTGCACTCATTACTCAATGTCCCTGGACAGCAGCGATTGTGTTCGATTTCATCTCCTGCTCTTGTCCCCTTACAGTCCTTTCCCACAGAGCCACCAGAGTAACATTTTAACAACGGAAAGCACATCGCGTCTGACCCTCTCCGCCCACCTCCCTGCACTCATGTGCTCTGGCCAAGCTGGAATGATTGCTTCTCAAACATGCTGAGCTTGGCCTGCACGGTTCAGCCACGGGCTCTTGCCCTTGCCATTGCCCCGTAGGTACATGGCTGACTGCTTTCTGAGCAAGGCCTCCACATCCAAAAGAGCTCTGCCCCAACTCCCTCATCCCACTCCATTTTATTTTCATCATTGTCCGATAAATCCTGTTTCTTTATTGTTTTCATAGCCATGAATATCCGCCCCGGACCCCGCTGTTGCCGTCTTTTCCTCCCTTACAATTCAGCACCCCCCCTTCCCCCCATCTCTCTTCTGTGTCCTCAGAATCTTGTATGGTGCTCGGCACATGGTAGATGCCTAATAAATGTTGGCTGAATCAATGAAAGAGTGAATGAGTCTTGGCCTGTCCATCTCCATCCTATCCTTTCTTCCAAGTCTAGCTCAAGACTAAACTTCACAATGAGATTGTTTTTGACCATCCCAGCTTTTAGGAATATCTTTTTTTTTTTTTTTTTAAATATATTTTATTGATTTTCCACAGAGAGGAAGGGAGAGGGATAGAGACATAGAAACGTCGATGAGAAACATCGACCAGCTGCCTCTTGTACACCCCCTACCGGGGATGTGCCCGCAACCAATGTACATGCCCTTGACTGGAATCGAACCTGGGACCTCTCAGTCTGCAGACTGATGCTCTAGCCACTGAGCTAAACCAGTTTCAGCACAGAAATATCTTTTATTTCCCTCTTGGTTCATGCCACTGAATGGAGTTGATGATCTCTCTTCTCTTTTCCTTCCCTCCTCTTTTTTTCCTTCCTTCCTTCTACCTGTCTCTGGTACCCATAAGAATTTCCCATTTGGGAGGTGTTCAGGATTTAAACATTTTTATTTTAATGACTATGGATGAGATAGCAAGCCAAAAGGTAAACATACAATGGCCTTCCTGTGACTAGGGCAATGAGCAGAATGGGAGGGTACCTTGCCCCTGGGAACACAAGGCATTGGACTGTGGCAGGGATTTTGGTGTGGGGGATAGAGAACTGAAGAATCACATATTTAACTGCACCTGAAAACCCCCCCATAATGTTAATAATCGGCGAATTTGAGTGAAGGGTATAAGTCCTCTTGTGACTTCTCTTTAAGTTAAACATTATTTTAAAATAAAATATTAAAAGTCCTTTCCCCCCTTAAAAATTGTATAAGGTGAAATTTATCAATCTCTTTCTTTATAGTTGTGGTTTTCATGCCATGCTAGGAAAAGCCTTCTTTATCTCCAGGTCATAAGAATATTCACTCATGGTTTCTTTCTATGGTTTCCTTTATTCATGTTGAAATATTAGATCTACCCCGAATTTTGCTGTTGAAGCAGAAAAATGTTCCGGTATTTTTTCTTTCTTTTCTCTCCCAAATGTCTAACAAATTTTCTACACAACTTCTATTGAATAATCAGTCTTTTCTCACTAGTATGAAAGGAAATGTTTACCATGTGTTAAAAGTCCTTATATATTTCATTTATGTGTAATGTTTCTTGAAATGCCCTGGACTTGTTTGTGTTCCTTTGAGGTGTCCATTTGTGTGTTTCTCAATTCTCGTTTATCCCCATTCCTTTCTACAATTTTTCTGGCAATTTTTGGGTATTTATTTTTTTTAGAAGAATTTCAGAACACTTTAACTTGGGGATTATTTGATTTCAGGTAACATAATAACAATTCAAAAGAGTATATCCTATATAATAAAGAGGTAATATGCAATTGACTGTCATGCCCTTGGGGAGGGCAGTTGGGGGTGACTGTGCCTGCAGGGGAGGGAAGTTAAGGGGGGGGTGGGTGGGAAACAGGCCTGCAATGGAGGGCAGTTATGGGCAACCAGTTAGGGGTGATCAGGCTTGCAGGGAAGGGCAGTTGGGGGCAACCAGGCCAGCAGAGGAGGGGAGTTGGGGTAACTGGGCTGGCAGGGGAGGGCAGTTAGGGGAGATCAGGCCAGCAGGGGAGCAGTTAGGCATCAATCAGGCTGACAGGGAGGTGGTTAGGGGGTGATCAGACTGGCAGGCAGAAGTGGTTAGGGGCAGTCAGGCAGACAGATGAGTGGTTGGGAGCCATAATTCTAGATTGTGAGAGGGATATTCAACTGCCGGTTTAGGCCCTATCCTACAGGGATCCCAGATTGGAGAGGGTGCAGGCTGGGCTGAGGGATTACCTCCCCCCCCCCCCCCCCACACACACACACAGACCCATGAATATTATGCACCGGGCCTCTAGTTGGGTATATAAAGAGTTTGTCATGAAATTAAAGCAAAAGTGGAACAAGCAGTCCCAGTAAGGGTTAAAAATCAAGAAGGAACTAGGTACATGTGGCAGAAATATTGAGACTACCTCTAGTCCTCTGCCTTAGCTATGACTTAATCCCAACCATCAGCTTTAAAGTCTATTAATTCAAATTCCTGGGAGAAATCATTGAATTGGCCCCTGGCCAATCAGGGACTGGTTCTCCCTGATTCAGGTGCCTGTAGAAGTTACATGATACAAATATAAGGGGAAAGTTCTCAGAAAACGAATGTAGAGGTTTGGTAGTTGTCCTAAATAATATACAGTGGAAGTTTTGAGATATTGAGTCATTTAGTCAAAGAATAAGGTATGTCTTTCCACTTGCTCAAATCTCTTATGACCCTTCATAGAGTTTCCTTACACTTTTTTTTTTTAAAGTCCCCAAATACACATTTAGATAAATTGTGCTTTTATTATTTTGAATGGAATTTTCTTTTCTTGTTTTATGATATTTAAGTGCTCGACTGGTATTTTTTATGTATAAGAAAGTAGTTAGTTTTTATATTTAATTTTAGCCAAACATTCTTAAATTTCCTGATTCTTTCTATGATAATTGTCTTGAGTTTTCTTGGTATGGAGTCATGTTTTCTGCAAATAAAGATTGTTTTGTCTTCTCTATAGTATATTCCTATACTTTATATTCTTTAACAATTTTAACACTTTTATTATAAACAGAATAAACTGATGGGTTTATTTTCATTTATTTAAACTGAGATAAAGGACATAAATAATGTGTTACATTTTGGGAAGTCTAACAAAGTGTGAAGCAAGGTATGGAACTTATTGGTCTCAAGTGGAAAAATTTGTTACCCATCCATCTATACAATAAAAAAGTTTACACTATAGATTCTTGCAGCTATAGTAAGAAAGACACAGTCCCTATCTTTAAAAACTTTAGATAAATAAACAAACACAAAAGCAAATGATTGTAATAGTGTCTGAGGCAGAGCACATAGTGTGAAAGGAAACACATAAAGGGGGCACCGAACCAGCCTTGGGCAGTCAGGGAAGGCTGCTGGAAAAGGTGACATCTAAAGAGATTTCTGAAGAACACATTTGAATGAAAAATCAGTGCATTATGCCATTTAGTTGCTTTGAAATTCTTGGGTGCAAGCATATCAGTGTTTTTAGCTGTTAGCCATTATGAAATCTTCATGAATCTCAACATTTTCCATTGGTCTTTACAGCTCAGGGGGCCAGCGACACCCTGGGAAACCTGGCTTTGGATACAAGTCTGCTGGAGGAGTTCCTGGGCAATGATTTTGATCTGGGGGCCTTGTAAGTGAAGAGAGCACTGCTCTCCATTTGATGTTTTAAAAAGTATGAACTAGCTAAATGGTCTAGGAAGTGCTCCCTCCGTCTTGTTTGTGATTCTCTCTGATCATTGATGTTTCTCTCTCTCTCCCTCCCTTCCTCTATGAAATCAATAAAATTGTTGTTGTTTTTTTAAATGGGGTTGTTCTTATATTTGAGTTTATAGAACTCTTTAAATGTTATGGATACAGGAGCTTTATTAGTTATGTGATTTGTGAATATTTTCTTCCAGGTCGTAGCTTATGTTCTCTTCATGATGTTTTTCCCAGAGCAAAAGTTTAAAATTTTGGTGATATCCAAGTTTTAAATTTTAGTGATGTCCAATTTATCATATTTTCTTATGTGGTTTGTACTTTATATCTAAGAAATATAGATATTGCCTAATTTAAGTTCTCGACATTTTTCTACTGTTTTCTTACAAAAAATTTTATTTAGATCTGAGATACATTTTGAATTAATTTGTATAAGATTTGAGGTAGAGGTTGAGATCTGTTTTCTTATTTATGAACTAGAGGTCCAGTGTGTGAAATTCATCCATGGTTAGGGGGTGGGGGCGATGTGTACATTATTGAAGCCCTATCTTTGCAGTCCTAAGAAGAGGAAAGAAAGACATTGACACAAAAAAATAAATGTAAAGAAATAATAATGAAAACTTCCCAGATGTAATGAAAACAAATTTACAGATTTAAAAAGATGAGCAAACCTCAATTGATGTAATCTGCAAGAAAGGATTTGTATGCTGAAATCTATAAAACACTGATAAAAGAAATCAAATAAATGGAGAGATATACTATGTTCATGGATTGGAAAATTCAATTTTGCTAAGATGCTAGTTTTCCTTCAAAGAGAAATATGAAACATATAGGTATAATATTAAAAAATATTTGAAGACAGATCAATAGAAATTATCCAATATAAACAACAGAGAGAAAAACGATAGAAAAAATCATTCTCTCCATTGTTTATATTGGATAATTTCTATTGATCTGTCTTCAAATATTTTTAATATTTATACCTATATGTTTCATATTTCTTTTTAAGCTATTGTAACTAATACTCCTTCCTTCCCCCAATTTTAGGTTCCAATTATTCAGAACCAATAGAAATATTACTGATTTTTATATATTGGGTTTGGGTCTTGTAGTTTTACTAAAGTCATTAGCTTTAAGAACTTTTTTTTGTAGATTTCTTAGAATGTTCTGTGTTGATAATCATGTCATTTGCAAATTGAAACACTTGTGTATCTTTCTTTCCAAACTGTATACTTTCTGGAATTTTTTTCTTGCATATTGAACTGAGTAGGACTTTGGATATAACAGAGAATAAGGAAGTAGTGAGAGCAGACATTCTTGCCTTGTCCTTGATATTAAAGGGTAAGAATTCAGTTTTTTAATCATTAGGTATGATGTTAGCTGTAAGTTTTTTTTTGTGTTTTTTTTTTGCCATATCTTTTATCAGCTTAAGGATATTCTATTACTAGTTTGATAAGAATTGTTATCATGAATGGATGTCGAATTTTGTCAGATGTTATTTCAGTATATATTATGATCACATAGTTTTTTTCTCCTGTTAATATAGTGGATTACTTCACTTAATTTTTGAATATTAAACCAGATTTGTATTTCTAGGACAGCCTAGTTAGTTGTGATGTATTATCTTTTTATCAATTGCTGGATTCAATTTGCTAAAATTAAGTTGAAGATTTTGCATCTATGTTCATAAGAAGATTAGTTTTCAGAATTTCCTTATATGCCTTTTTTCCCCCTGGCTTTAGGATTAGGGTAAATATAGGCTCTTAAAATTAGTTGGAAAGTGTTCCCTCCTCTTAAATTCTCTAGGTGAGATTTTTGTGGCATTTGGATTTATTTCTTACTTTAAAATTCGATAGAATTAACCAGTGAAATGATCTGTGCCTGTAGTTTGCTTTGTTGGAAAGTCTTAACCACAAGTTAAATTTATCCAATACATACATGTTATCTCTTTCTCCTTAAGTGAGTTTTGGTAGCTTCCCCCCCGCAACTCCCCACCCCAGGAATCAGTCCATTTCAAATTTATGGGCATAGAGTTGTTCAGAATATTTATTAGCGTTTGAAGACTCTGAGGAGTCCATAGTGATATCTTCTCTTCAGTTCCTCATATAGGTAATTTGTTTCTTTTTCTTTTCTTTTTTTGATCAATCTCATTAGATATTTACCAATTTTATTGATCTTTTCAAATAAGCAGCTTTTGGTCTCATTGATTTTCTTAATTTGGCTTGTTTTCAATTTCACTGATTTTTACTTCTTATTTTTATTATTTTCTTCTGCTTGCTTTGGGTTTAGTTTCCTTTTTTTTTTTTTGTAGTTTATAAAGGCAGAAGCTTGATTTGAGTTCCTGATTTGAGACCATTGTTTGTTTCCTAATTTAATATGTAGGATGGTACATTTCCCCCTCTGTATGTTTTTTAGCTGCCTCCCTCAGTTTTTGGTATGGTATATTTTAATTTTCTTTCAGCTCAAAGGCTTTCTAGTTTTCCTTGAGACATCCTCTTTTGAATCATGGGTTGCTGGAGGTTCATTGTTTAATTTCCAAATATTTTGGAATTTTTCATATATTTTTCTGCTACTGATTTCTAGTTTAATTCCATTATAGACAGAGAACATGCTTTGTATGATGCTAATTCTTTTATGTTTATTAAGGTTTACCTTGTGAGTGCTCCATTCATCAAGATAGTGCATTCAGTTATTGAGTAAAGTGTTTATAAATGCTAATTAGGTCAAATTGATTGACATTATTGTTCAGGTCTCCTATGTTCTTGCTAATTTTTGTCCACTTTTATTTACCAATGTATGAGGAATGGCAAAGTATTGAAGAATAATTGTGGATTTAGAAATTTTGGTTCCAAGTTCTTTTTTCCAAGCACTTAAATTTTTTTGACCTACTGTCTTACTACCTTCATGGTTTCTGATGATAAATAGTTATTTGAATTGTTGTTCCCTTGTATGTAATATATAATTTTTCTCCAGCTACAAGTATTTTCTTTACCTTTGGTTTCCAGCAGTTTTTGTTATGATATGGCTGGGTATGGGCATGATATTATTGGAGATTACATTGATTAAGGTTTGCTCAACTTTTTGAATCTGTAAATTTGTTTTCATTACATCTGAGAAGTTTTCAGCTATTATTTCTTTACACTTATTTTTCTGTACCAACATCTTTCTTCTTCCTAAGACTGCAAAGATACTAATGTTAGGCCTTCAATACTATACACATTTGATTTTTTCAATCTTTTTCTCTCTGTTGTTTTTACTGGATATCTCCTATTGATCTGTTTTCAAGCTTACTGACCCTCCTGAGTCATCTCCATTTTGTTATTAACACCCTTGTAAATTTCCTCCTTTCCCTCCCCCATGAAAGATAGATAGTGAAACCAGACTTGAATGTCAATAGTAATGGGGAAACCTGTTTTCAGATATTTCTAGTACCTGGGTGATGTTGTTCTTTGCAATAAAAACATCCTTACCAAATGACCGTGGGAAGAAGGGAAGCTCAACATTTTGCAAGCTATTTACACACACACACACACACACACACACAGTAAGTTGCCAAATGTCTGAGCCCACACTTTGAGCCTGCTGTTCTCTGTTCCGCTCCAGGCCCTGCATGGGCTGAACTCAGACACTAGCTGCCCTGTGCCTGCCCTCACATTCCTCTCACTCCACTCAAGCAGCAGGCGGGAATTCCTGTCGGGAGGATGGGCAGTGGATATAACCTTACCATCGCTGGCCTGCAAACAATTTGCTAGAAGTTTTCTAGTCACTCTCTCTCCTAGGTGACTTCTTCTTCTTCTTCTTTTTTAAAAAAAATATATTTTATTGATTTTGTACAGAGAGAAAAGAAAGAGAAAGTTAGAAACATCGATGAGAGAGAGTCATCAATCAGCTGCCTATTGCACACCCCCTACTGGGGATATGCCCGCAACCAAGGTACATGCCTTTGACCGGAATCAAACCCGGGACCCTTCAATCCCCAAGCCGACGCTCTATCCATTGAGCCAAACTGGTCTCGGCCTAGGTGACTTCTTAAGAGAAGGTGCAACTGAGTCCACCAGGGCTCTGTTTAATCATCTCAATCACTATTATAACTAGTAGAAAGAACTTGAGGTGTTTTTTTGGGGAAAAGTGAACAAAAATCTTATTTGAAAATTTGTCACTTTACCCGGGAGTTCTGAAATCTGCCATATACCATTTGTCCCCAAGATAATAACATCCTTCGCGCAGGACCAGTGGTATCTCCCTATAGGCTTTCGCCATGAGTTTGCCAACCAGCTTCTCTCTCTGCCTTTGGGGGTGGGTGGGGTGCGTAAGTGAACTAAAGGAGGGAGTTCATATTGCTGAGCACTTACAAATGTTGCGGAGTGTTCTTTGCACTTGACATACTCGCTTATTTAATTACACATTTTATTTTACACCTCTCACTCTTTTAATAAGCTCTGCCAAATAGGCACGCTATTGTCCATATTTTACAGATGAGGAGGCTGAGGTTCTATAGGTAAACAAGTGGCAAAGCTTGGATTAAAATGTGTCTGGCTCTAGACTACGTGTCCTTTCTTCTCCAGGCAGCTTTTAGATTAATTGATATTTTAAGTGAAATTTTGGAGGGCAGTGAATATCCTAAATGTATCTAAAGTAACCTGCCAAAAGGTGTGACTCAGGATGGTTCTGAGCCGTACATAGTTTGCCATGATCGTCAGCGTTCACACCCACCAGAGAAAAGGCCTATGATCAGATAACCTGTCATTGCTTGATAAAAAGTGCTCAGGTGCACGCAGTTAAGTGGCACTGCGATAAAAATGTGAGTGAGAACAAGTGGACACAAGCCCAGTTCAAGACCACAGTGTGGTTGGGCTGGTCCAATGAGCATTGCATCTGTGCAGCCTATTCCAACGGCCACGTGGGGAGGAGTATTTCCATGCACCAGGTTTC